AAAATAAAAACTCACCTGAAGAAGAGATAAATAGAATGAACGAAGAAAAGTCTGAGAAACAAGAAATTGATTCGTCAGAAGTGTTTTTCACTAACTTTTCTTCCTTGTGGGATCAGTTGAGTATAAGATTAGCTACTCACAATACTGCAGGATGTCCCATCACAAATATCAAAATAGATCGTCAGATCAGAGAAGGAAATCGAGTTCGAATTTCATATAAATGTGACAATTGTTTATGGAAAGCAGATGTATGGTCAACTCTGAAAAACAAAAATAATCTAGATATCAACGAAGCCTTAGTTTTAGGTGGGATTAATAGTGGTACTGGTTACAGTCAAATGCAAAAACTATTTGCTGCTGCTGGAATACATTTCATGACCAATCACAGATATCAACAATGTCGAGATAATGCCCATAAAATATTGCAGAAGGCTGTAGAGGAAAATATGGAAGAAGCTGGAAAGGAAGAACTACGGTTAGCTCTTGAGGATGGAATGCACAAAGATGGGATAGGCATGATAACTGTATTAGCAGATGGAAGCTGGATGAAAAGGTCCTACAAAAATGGAAACTACAATTCTCCAGCTGGACTGGTATTCATAATAGGTCAAAAAACTGGTAAAATTTTATGGTATGATGTCAAAATTATGTATTGTTCTGTTTGTGATAGAGCAAAGATGCAAGGCTACATACCACGAGATCATGAATGTTACAAAAATTGGAGCCGAGAGGAAAGCTCATGTAGAATGGAAACTGTCTCTATTGTAGAAGGATTTCGTAAAAGCATTGAAAAGCATAATTTAATTTACTACAGGCTTGTTGCAGATGGCGATAGCAGTGTCTACAAAAAACTGAGAGAAGCAGACCCATACGCGGATTACGAGATAGATATAGAGAAAGTGGAATGTTCTAAACACTTGCGTCGAGCATTCAGGAATAGAGTAAAAAACATAGCAAGTAGCAAACGTGGATATGTAGGCAAGTGGAGACAAATTGTAGAAAACAGTGGAGAAAAATGCATTAGTGAGGTTAATCGTCTTCTTCAGCATTATTGGAATCAAGAGAAGGAAATAGATGATGAAATGTGTTTTGAGGTAGCAAATGCTATTCACGTTATTCCGAGACATGTATTTGGTGATCATAGTAGATGTGCTAGTAAATATCCCTTATGTGACGGTGCCCCTCATTTAAGTGAGAAAAATCATGTTCCTATGTTGGAAAAATGGCATTATGTTAAAGATGTCGAAGAAGCTATTTCTCGTTTGAGTCGTCATTCTTATAGTTTATTACTAAACTTTGATACAAATCTAGTAGAATCGGCCAATGCAATCGTAGCAGAAAAAATTGGAGGTAAACGCATTAATTATACCCTCCGAAATGAGTATACTGCACGTGTATTGGCAGCAGCATTACAATTTAATACTAGACAAGTAACAATACAATATTATAAAACTGCAGGTAAACAAATACCCAAGATCACAGAAGCTGTAGAAAAACAAAGTCAAGAAAAACACGAGAAACGAAAAAAAAGACTTGAAAGAAGACAACGAAGAAAGGGTGGTAAAAAGAAAGGTAATGAAGATTATGGTTCAGATTGTCAAGAAGTAGATATGGATGAGAAGACATATAATATACAATTGAAAATTCATAGGGATAAAATGAATGAACGAATAAAAGACCGAATTAAAATTGAAAAAGAGACACGTAATCAAGCGAAAAATCCCAAATGGTGGAGACATAGAAAGTTTTATATAACAAAAGAGAGGAAACATCTTGTAAAAGTATTGTAACAGATATTAGGGTTCCAAAGAAATTGAATGGACCTGCAATTGATTGGGGTCGTGAAAATGAGTTTACAGCAAAAAAACTTCTAGAAAAGATATTGAATGATAAAATTATTGACAGTGGTTTGATTATACATCCTAATATTATTGGAATAGCTGCAAGTCCGGATGGAGTATTAATGAAAACTGGAGATATTGTCGAAATAAAATGTCCTTATTCTGCTGCGTCATACAAAACGATTAAGGATGCTTACTTATGCAACGTAACTGCGATCATTGAATTATTCAATGACGAAACTTGTACTACAATACGTAACACACATGATTATTATTACCAAGTACAAACACAATTAAGTGTTTCTGAAAAGGAAGTATGTCATTTTTTGGTTTGGACGCCAAATGACTATAGGGTTATTCATATCAAGCGAGATGATACTTTTTGGAGGAATAAAATAGAACCATATTTAATTAAATTTTATGAAACCTGTTTAGAACCAGAAATAGTGGACAGTCGTCTGAGCAGAAGAATGCAAGTTAAAGACCCACCACATATTATAAAAGCAAGAGAGAAAAAGGAGTTTTTGAAATTAGAAAAAAAAGAAAGAAAAACGAAAAGGCATTTGCAAAAGCTTCGAAGCAAAGTTCAAGAATTCCAGGTAGTGTAAATGAAATAAACTATGAACAACATAACGTAGAATGCATAAATGAAAATAACGACATGGATTGTATAAATAATGAAATGTGTGTAAAAAATCCTTCCACAGTCGATCCACACGTGGAAGAGAGTATACTGGTCACAACTAGATCTAACAGAATTCGAAAAAGACGTGCGTGGTGGTCAGACTTCATACAAGATTAAAAATTGGTTCTTGCTTTAAAACCAGCGTAAAGTTATACTTACAATAAGACAACAAAAACAAGCTTATTCTTGCGTTGAAATCAGCGCAAATGTTATACTTGCAATAAAATGACAAGAGCAAGCTTATTCTTTCGTTGAAATCAGCGCAAAAGTTATACTTGTAATAAAATGACAAGAAAAAGCTTATTCTTGCGTTGAAATCAGCGCAAAAGTTATACTTGTAATAAAATGACAAGGAAATGCTTATTCTTGCGTTGAAATCAGCGCAAAAGTTATAATTGTAATAAAATGACAAGGAAATGCTTATTCTTGCGTTGAAATCAGCGCAAATGTAATATTCTAAAAAATAAGTTGAACGAATGTTGTTAATGGTTATCGCTAGGACAGCCATAAACTAGAATTTATTCAAAATAAAGTTAATAAATCAATCTTAATGTCCGTAAATAATAGCAAACACAGGTTAAAAAGTATTAAAAGTATTTTAAAAAATATTAAAAATGTTTTAAAAAGTATTAAAAATATTTTAAGAAGTATTAAAAATGTTTAAAAAATATTTTAAAAAAGTATAAAAATGTTTAAAAAATTTTAAAAAAAGTATAAAAATGTTAAAAAATTAAAAAAAAGTATAAAAATGTTAAAAAATTGAAAAAAAAATTTTTTTTTAATTAAAAAAAAAGTGGGGTGTAGTGTGGATCGCCTCCTCGTCGGTGCACCCTGGGTAATGCCAAATGATCTACGTAATAAAAACTATTAATAACTTTTATCTATATGAAGATAAAAATTAATACGTCATGCATTTGAAAAGTAATATTTTACATGCGAATAAGTAAATTCTAATTATTATTTTGATTTTGTTACATTCTGAATATTTTTTACTATTATCAAAAATTACTTTATAAAAGTTTAAAGACTTTATTTTAGAAGATAATAATACTTTTATCAAAGAATTTAATAATAACAAAATTCCTTTAAAGAATTTTATTATTTAGGAAAATAATTGAAATATCGCGAAGAATTTCGTTAAAAATTTTGAAAATTCAAATTAAATTTCCTTTGAAGAATATCTTTAAATTATTTTTAATAGAATGTAAATAAATTTTAAAAATTTTCAATTTTCTAGAAACAAAAGAATTGAAAAATTTCAAAAATCTTATTTTTCACAATTTTCGAAAAAACTTTGCGAAAATTCAATTTTTTTAAAAAATGTAAGTGTATATCTTCTTTAAATTAACTAATAAAAATTTCTATTATTCATCTTCACAATAAAATACATGATAACATTAGAGTGTGACTCTATAAAATTCAATTATTTATCAACTATTAAATTAAAATACCTTGAAAATTCGATTTGTTAAAAAGTTTTTAATGATATTCTTGAACAAATTTCATTATTTTCAGTTGAATTTCACAAAATTTCTATTAATTAGATAATTTTTCTTAAATTTATTTATATACTATATTAATTTTGACTGATTTTTTACTTTCAAATTAATTATTTTTAACCAACTCAAATTTAGAGAACAGTATAAATATCTGTGAAAATTGAAGTAAAAAGAGATTTAAAAAAAAATTAAAATAATAAAACTGTTTTTAATTTGGTGAAAAAATTCCCTGTTCAAAATTTGTAATAAAATTTACAACAAATACTACCTCCAGAATTTATTAATTTATTTATTATTTATGCGTGACCTTGGGGTTATTCATAATGCCTCAACTTTAAAATCACTTTTTTTTACTTTGGTTCGTTCGAATATTTTGTTTGCTTCTGAGATTTGGTCGCCCTGGCAGGAATATCTTTTAATAAGATTGGAGCGAATACAAAATAGGTTTTTGCGATTCGCTGCTAAGCAACTCGATATTACCTATGATTTTTTTTCACATGAATATGATGACGTAAGGAGGCAATTGAAGATCCCGACAATTTCATCCAGATTTCTGTACTCGGATTTAATGTTTCTTTTTAAAATTATAAATGGAATGATTAATTGTCCGGATATTTTATGTAAAATAAATTTCTCTGTGCCTTACAAACCATCACGTAATTTTCTTCTTTTCAAAGTTAAATATCATAGGACAGAGTATGGTGATAATAATGTTTTCGAACGTATATGTCGTGAGGCTAATGAAAGTGCACATGATCTAAATTTTTTCGAAAATTCAACTCTACGTTTTACCACTGCCCTGCGCAACTTATTATTTGAATATTGCACAGCGTAATTAAATAATTAATTATTCATTGTAATTAATATTCTTTTTTTTTTTTTTCTTTCTTTTTCTTATATTAGTACTTTGTACGAAAGGGCGTTTTATATTTTGTAAGCCCGTTGATACATGAAATAAATAAATAATGAAATTATTTAACAATAAACATTCTGACATTGAATATAATTTATTGTACCGTGACTACTGGTTCCTTTGACTTCCCTTCCTCCCCGATAATGTCCCCTTCCTCCCCGATAATTTCCCCTTCCTCCCCGATAATTTTCCCGTCCACGTCCATTTCCCATTTCTTTTCTCCGTCCACCTTCTCTTCCATATGAAGATCCCTTTTCCCTTCTTTTATCTCCTCCTTCTTTATATCCTTTCCGCTTTTTTCCACCTTCTCTTTCAATCTCATTTTCCATTCTCCTTTCTACTCGATTTTCACCTCCATTTGAATGGACCCTTTCTCCTGATCTGGTACTCTGTTTCCTGGTCTCGTTCTCTCTTCTGGAAAAAATTAAATGTATAGAACACTATCAACCATTCAAAAGCAGGGTTGCCACGCTTTTCCTCATTTCAAATTCCCTGACTTTTCCAGGTTTTCAAGGTTAAGAAACGTAATTTTTCCAGGTTTTTAAAACTAGATTTATATTATACAAAATTTAATTTTTAATTTTAATTTAATTTTTAATTGTATTCTTAATTTTATCAAACTCCCTGATTTCCAGACAAAACGATTTTTCCTGTTCTATGACATTTAATTACGAATTTCTTTAATTGTAAAATTACTCAAAAACATCAATTACTTCGTTTTTAAATGAATATTTAATCATTATTATTTTTCCGTAGGAATTAAAATTCTTCAAAAGATTTAAATTCAATTACATATAAAAATATTATTATAAAACAAGAAGACATCGATCACTTCGAGTCTTCGAAAAGGTGTGATCGCTTTCTTCATGTTTTATAATAATTAAAACTTGATACTATCATTATTTTATATTATAAAAATATTGTTACTGTAATCTCTTCAAAATTATTTTTATTTCAATTCAATTCTTCATTTCTTGAATTTTAAACAAAAATTCCTTTTTAAAACAATTATTTTAAATAATTTTTGAAAAATTTCTTCTTTGAGAAATTTAAATCTATTTGTTTACAATTCAATTTAACATAAGCTTTCCATTATTCTGACATTCTTCAATTAAATTAATTAGAAATTAAGAACTTTAAATAATTTTAAAAAATACATTAAACTATTTTAGAAAAATTAATTCTAAATTTCCTTAAAAGTCTTGTCAAGAATTTAATTATTTGTATAGATAATAAAATTATTCGCAGGAATTCAATTATTCTCAAAAAATTTGAATAAAATTCTTCGAAATAATTCAATTGTTTTTTAAATTGACAGAATTCTTCGCATGAATTGAATTATTTTTAAAATTGATAAAATTCTCCGCAAGAATTCAATTATTTTCAAAAATGATAAAATTCTTCATCAATTACTATCAATATTAATTTTTACTTAATTTTGATTATTCTGACACTCTTCAATTAAATATATATTAGAAAATAAAAAATTCAATAGAATTAAAGAAAAATTCAATTAAACTTTTTTAAAAAATAATTTCTTCAGAATTGTTAATTAAAAGTTTTAAAAGTTCAAATTTTTTAAAAGATTTTAATTTGAAACATTTTTAAAATTTACGCTACATTGTTTTCAATATTCAATAATAATCTAAAACTTTAACTGAAATTCATTTTTAAATCAATATTTACTAGAAAAATACACTAGAATTTAATTATTTAAATACAAAAATAAATATTTTATTAAATAATTGAATGTTTTTTAAAATTGAATTTTTATATAAACTGTTACCAACAAATTTTTAAATCATTGAATTCTCTTGAAAAATTTTAATAACATTTATAAGAATAAGTTTATTTTTCGGAAATTTGATTAAAATTTTGTTAAAAATAATTGAATTGCTCCAAAGAGAAAAGAGTGATTGAAACTTTTTTTTATAATAGTTTTTGAAAATAATTGAATTCTTGAGACGAATGTTATTAAAATGTCTTTTTAAATAATTAAATTTCTTTGATGAATTTTAATAAAAATTTTAAGAATAATTTCATTAAAATTGTATTAAAAGTAATTGAAAGTCTAAGATGAGTTTTATTATTTATGAAAATAATAAAATGTTTGCGTAGCATTTAAAATTTTTTTTTAAATAATGTAATTCTTTTGCAAATTTTTATTAAAGTAGGTAGTAGATTTATTAAAAATCATTGAATTGAGGAAATTTTTTGAAGATAATTGGAATTTTGCCTTGAATTTTATTAAAATTGTTGGAAATAATTGAATTTTCTTCTTATTATTTTTAATAATTTGGAAAATAATTGAATTTATGCAATCATTTGTAATTGCTTCAAAATTCAATTTCTTTTATTGTTTTTAATTAAAATTCTTCTATAAATCCATTATTTTTAATAATCAATTAAAAATATATATTAAAAACTTCAACTAATTTCAGAAGAATTGGAATAATTAAAATTTCTCAAAAATTTACGTTCTTTAATACGATTTCTAGTTAAATTCATTAAAAATTGAAATTTTACAAAATTTCAAATTAAAATATTTTGAAATTCTCTAGTAATTATGAAAATTGTAAACGCAAATTTTTTTAAATTTAATTAATTTTGAAATATTTATGTAAAATTAGATTTCAAGAATAAACTTTAGAAAATAACAATTTTCCAGGATTTCGATCAAAATTCCCTGACTTCTCCAGGTTTTTTCAAGGTTTATAAAATTCCCTGACATTTCCAGGTTTTCCAGATTTCCAGGTTGTGTGGCAACCCTGAAAAGTATAATTTAAAAAATGTGATACTTATCCATCGTACCTTATTCTTTTCGTCGCACCTTCCTTGTTTTTGGAAAGAGGATTTTCTACAATATTTATTTCTGAAAAAATTTATTAGATGAATTTTTGTACAATAAATAATTAAGTTTTACAGAAAAACATAGAGAGTTACTTTTGTTCATCCTTATTCTCACACTTCTAAAAGAAATGAATAAAGAATAGAAAGTGTACACCTAACCTCAATTTAAATGAAAAATTAAAGATGGTAAATGTATGGGTAAAAACTACAATCAATTTTTCGAAAAATTTTCAGTTTCTATTCCATTTTATTTATTTTTTAAACTTTAGGAAGAGTCTTTCAAAGCAAAGGCAAAAGCTATATTCAAATTGTAGGGAAAATTTTAGTTTTTCTTCCATTTTTTTCGTTTTTTAAGAATAGGAAGAGTTCGTCAAAGTATAGGCAAAGACTTGAGTGTAGAAATTTGTGAAGTGTGCCTATTATTTTTCAGTCGGCGAATATTTTTTATGATTTTATCAATTTTGTACAACATATGATAAAGAAAAAATATAAGTCGCATAGTTTTGCAAAATTTTAATTTTTTTATAGGTATTGTAAATAACATTTTTTCATAAGAATTTCAAAATTAATTATTTTCTACCTTTCTATAAAAAGAATCGAGATGATTTTCTGTATAAATAAAAAGAAATAATAATATTACTCCTCATTTACAGACGAAAAAAAGAAAAGTGTATATTGTTAATTAGGTAAAAAATTATTCAAGTTTTTCTGAAAAGATGTATTATTTCTTCTATTCATACCAAAATCCAACTCGATTTCTCTTATAAACGATAAAAAAAACATTTATATATTTTTTTTCCATATTTTAAAAACTAAGAAAAAACTGAAAGTTTAAAAATTTACGAGAAACTGATTCTAGCAGCTAGCTTCTTCCCGTATTTTGGATGACTTTCCCATACTTTGAAAAATAAGAAAAAATTGAAAGGAAAAAAATTTCCGAAAAATTGATTTTTCATTACTTATTTTACTAATAACCTCCAATTATTATATAAAGGTCTATAACACTGGTTTACAGTGAAATTGCCAATTGAACAAAACATTTTTTTTTCGAATAGTAGGTGTTTGTTGAGTAAGAAAATCATAGTTTTAATTTTTTTCCCTCGTGAAGTTTTTCTGTAGCTTCAAATTTTGCATTTTCGAGGTGCGACGCCACTTAAACTTACCTGTAGGAAAATTAGCTTGTCAAAATATAATAAATGAGGTATCATTGGAAAGGTTATTAAATTACCTTTCGATCCATAGGTCACAGAATAAAATTCAAAAAAAATTGAGAGAGTTACAGTCGATTAAAGATGAAATTTAATGCCAATTTTGATGATTTTTAGACCTTTGAGTAAGTTCTACTATTTTTTTCTACATCAAACAGGAAAGAATGTTTAGGTTTTAATTTTTTTATTGATAGACTATATCATTACACAAATTTTGAGTCCTTGTGGACCTCGATTGGATTAAAAATGACAATTCTACACTAAATTTAGTGAACGAAACTACATTCTTCATTTTTAGTATCCCTTAAACATTTGCACCAAAAATTCAAGTAATAAAATTTGGTAAAGCGCTAAAGTTACTGAAATCACTAATCAAGAGTTTCTGAAGTCGTAGATTTCGAATGCAATATTAGTTTTGCAAATTTCAAAATGGCGGATCCAATATGGCGGACAAGTTTTCAAAAATCGATGAAATTCGTCTCAAATTCGTTACTCGGGGGTTTTCGGGATCGCTGATTACAAATCTGATGTCAGATTTCGAAAATTAAAAATGATGGACTCATAATGGTGAACGAGTTTTTTAAAATCCATCGAATTCGCACCTATTGGATCCGCCATTTTTAATTCTTGAAATCTGACATCGGGTTCGTAATCAGCGACCCCGAAAACCCCCGAGTAACGAATTTGAGACAAAATTCATCGATTTTTGAAAACTTGTCCGCCATATTGGATCCGCCATTTTGAAATTTGCAAAACTAATATTGCATTCGAAATCTACGACTTCAGAAACTCTTGATTAGTGATTTCAGTAACTTTAGCGCTTTACCAAATTTTATTACTTGAATTTTTGGTGCAAATGTTTAAGGGATACTAAAAATGAAGAATGTAGTTTCGTTCACTAAATTTAGTGTAGAATTGTCATTTTTAATTCAATCGAGGTCCACAAGGACTCAAAATTTGTGTAATAATATAGTCTATCAATAAAAAAATTAAAACCTAAACATTCTTTCCTGTTTGATGTAGAAAAAAATAGTAGAAGTTACTCAAAGGTCTAAAAATCATAAAATTGGCATGAAATTTCATCTTTAATCGACTGTAACTCTCTAAATTTTTGTTGAATTTTATTCTGTGACCTATGGATCGAAAGGTAATTTAATAACCTTTCCAATGATACCTCATTTATTATATTTTGACCAGCTAATTTTCCTACAGGTAAGTTTAAGTGGCGTCGCACTTCGAAAATGCAAAATTTGAAGCTACAGAAAAACTGCACGAGGGAAAAAAATTAAAACTATGATTTTCTTACTCAACAAACACCTACTATTCGAAAAAAAAATGTTTTGTTCGATTGGCAAAAAAAAGTTTTTAATTTGTAAACCTGTGTAATATATAAAAAAAACTTCATTTACTTATTTTACTTATTTACTTATTTAATTAAGAAAACAGAGCATTTTAATTACCTTTTTCTTTTTCACTCATTTTCTTGTAGACTTCTGCTCTTTCTCGTCTACTTCGCCCACCACTTTTGCTTCTTCTTAAATTCTCTATGGACAAAAAATAAATGAAAGTAAAAAAGAAAAAAAAATGTCTAAACTTAAACTTATTCTAAATATGTAACATATTACTAAGATTTATCTTGACAATATATTTACATGAGAATTCTAACCTAAAAATTGACGTATTTATAGCGCTACTTATATATTTTTTAAAGTTGAACGAAATAAGCAAGAATTCTAGAAAAAATTAATAATATAATATACAAACATATAAATTTTCTAAGCAAATAAATATAAATTTTTACTTACCAGACATGACTTGCAGCAAAAGTTTTGTCTCTGTTGCTTGAGATCAGTAAATCCCCGTTTCACAAATTCACTTTTCTATGCTTGGACAATTTTCGTAGTGCAGAATTCTAAAAAAAACATGAAGACGAAAGTTAATGGAATGAGTGAATTGCAAACATTATATGAAAAGAAGAAAAAAACTATTATGATTGACCCTTTAATTTGCGAAGAAAAAAAGGTGAGAAAAGCAATTAGTAAATAATGAAAAAAGTATTAAAGTGAGAAAAAAAAATTAGTCATTTGAAAAAGTTTGTGAGAAATGAAAGGAACAGAAAGTTGTGATAAGTTTAAAAAAATATGATACAGATGTAATAAGAGAAGTGGACTAAAAATAAACAATAAAGAACGTCGAAAAAACAATGACAGGAAAATGAGGTTATATTACACGAAAGTAAAAAGAATGCAAAAGCAATAGAAAAAATAGAACAAATAGAAATGAAATATAATTTATAAAAAGAAGACAGGATTTAAAATAATGGAAGATAATAATTATTACATACCTTTTGGCGACGTTTTGTTCTCCATTATTTTCACTTGCCCTGTTTAAAATTCAAAATGTTGTGATGGAAAGAAATGAAAGTTTCCGTCAACACAGAAAAATTGTAGTGTCCCACTCTGGCGGTCAACTTAGAATCACATTGCCACCAAGGTAATAATACTCATCGCGTGAAAGAAAAATTTCGATGGTAACTAACATAAACGTATGTGGTACATAATTCACCCGTAGGTGGCAACAAGTAAACTCATATGTCTGTCATTGTTTCTCCGCGAATTATGTATTTCCCATTTTACTTCCTATCACCGTTATTCTCAATGAATCTTAAAACTCTTGTGCTCTACGAACAATTCATAATATGAGGACGATTGGTATTTTCTTCGATTTTTAAAAACATGACTGCATTTCAAGTAAAAAATCTTTTAAATCATAGTCAAAAGAGAGGTAGCCATTTTCACAGCATGCTTTCTTTGTCTTACCCGTTTTATATTCAGTCAGGGATGGCTATAAACTTGAGGGGCCCCCCTGTATATTTATTTTCACGATTGCGCAACACCGTTAAGATAAAAAACTGTCGGCGCCGGGAGGGGGGGGGGTTACATGAATTTTTTTCAAAATTTTCGCTGAAAACGCTATGAAGATCAATACCAAATATGTTCGCTAAATATTTCCTGTAATCCATTTTTGAAAATACATATGCATACCAATTTTCATCTTTCTAGGTAAGAAACTGTGAGCGCTAAGGGGGGTACTGCCTTTTTTGCGAAAAACGGCCAAAATTTGATGTTTTTCGCGGAAAACTCTATAAAGATCAACTCCAATCACGTTCGCTAAATCACGTGCAATCTACGCGTGAAAATACATACTTGTACCAATTTTTAGCTCTCTAGATGAAAAACTGAGCGCTAGGGGGGGGGGGGGGTACATGGTCATTTTTCGTAACCGTTTTAATAGGGTTCCTACCGGGTACAGAACAGAATACTGTTTTGCTTCTTTCCTTTTATATTCTTTATTTCTCATCGAATCGGTTTAATTTTTTTTGGAAAAACTTCCTGATTAATAAAGGAAAAACTTTCTTGCGAGAAGTTTTCATAATTCGAAAATTCGTCGCATACTTTTTCTCCTTGAAGATTAAAATTCCTGTTATTGTAAATAACAACTTTCAAAATTAATAACTAATAAACAATATGATTTTTTAGACTTTTCATTTATTTGTAGGCTTCTGTAAGGTATATTGTGCATGCCTTAAAAAAGCGGTTCATTTTATTAATATTTGACTGAGAAATGACGATATATTTATCAAAAGGTAATTAATTTTTGAGATAAAAATTTTTAGTTTTTTTTTAGTTTTAATAAAATGGCATTTTGGAAAAAAATTGTAAATAGAAAAAAGATGTATTTTTTCCTCCTCTACAACGTCATAATTTTTAAATATTTTTTTTTTTTGAGTTTTAAAATTTCATAACATAGCTGAGGGTTTGACAATACTTCTGCGTAAGTTCGAGCGAAGAGCCGGTTCTTTGATCCAGCTCCTCAATTGGCGAATCAGAGGAAAATGACTGAAATTTCAGTTATTTTAAACTGATTTTTAGTGAAATTCCACTGATTCAAATCGCAAGAATAGAGTCACTGATTCTCAGACATATTTCACTGATTTTCAGTGGAATTTCACTGATTCAGATTTAAAGAGTGTCAGTTGTCAAGAAGAAGGTGACACTAATTAGATCTAGTGACCGCGGCTAAACTAAAAAATACTCAACCTCAAATTACTCTACATTATTTCTTTTTTAAAATCACTTTTTCGTCAAATTATTGTCAAAATGGAGATATCCCCCCTGCAGAATACTTTTCTCTATCATTCCGAATAAATATTACCTCGAAATATCGTATTTAATCAACAAATAATGCATCCTAATAAGAAAGCTCGTTTTCGCTCAAAACCAAATGTTTAAACAATTTTTTTAACAATTATTTATAATAATTACGCAGAATACTGAGTTGACTCCTACAGGTTCCCTTCCTCTACTATTTTGAAAAAATTCTAACCCGAAATATTCTTTTCTTTTTAAATTAAGTATATTCTACAAAATTACTGCCCAGTAAAAAAAAATATTCAGAATAGAGAAACAGTATTGGTGGAGACGTTCGGTGAATGCGTTTTCGCGACAAAACCGTATTGGTGGGTTACGGTGAATACATTTTGCTTACCGTGAATACTTTTTTTTTAAACTCTCGATTTAAAGATTCCTAAGCAAAGTTGAGAATATTTATAAAGAGCGTAAGTGATCTGAAGTATAAAAATGACGATTGCGAAAAGGAAATAAGAAATTTTGAGAAAAAACGAAAAATTAAATGTGACAAACCTACAACGTATGATGATGAAAAGGAACATTGACGATACCGACAGAAACTTGAGAAATCCAAGTAAATGTATGTGAAACATTAAGTTCCGCCGGTAACGTCAAAGTTCCTTTTAATCATCATACGTTGTAGGCACAGAAAAGCATATGGTACTTGATCAACATTTGACAATCTGTTTGTCACATTTAATTTTTCGTTTTTTCTCAAAATTTCTTATTTCCTTCTCGCAATAGTCATTTTTATACTTCAGGTCACTTACGCTCTTAATAAATATTCTTAACTTTGCTTAGGAATCTTTAAATCGAAAGTTTAAAAAAAAAAGTATTCACGGTAAGCAAAATGTATTCACCGTAACCCACCAATACGGTTTTGTCGCGAAAACGCATTCACCGAACGTCTCCACCAATACTTTTTCTCTATTCTGAATACTTTTTTTTACTGGGTGTATTTTTCTGGGTAACGTTAAGGGGGGGGTAAGGTTTAAACGGTGAAAAAGCATATTTTTAAGAATTTCTTTTGGCGATACGCAGAAAGTTAATTTATTTTATCGCTTTGCATATAATATTGCAACATTTGAACAATATTTCTCTAAATTTTAATTACAAAATATTAAGAATTGAGCGAGATAATGAGATTTTTCTCAGGCGCCTCAAAAAAAATGATTTGCGGTGTACACTCTAACTCGCAACAGAATCATCCAAATTAAAAAAATCAAAGTGAATTTGTCAAAGGAGATGTTTTTTGAGGTAACGCTGGGATGAAAATTTTTTTTTTCGCTTTTTGGTGGCACTTGAAGCTAAAAAGTCGATTTTCGCTATAAAAAATCGATTAATTTGTTATTGTAAAATTGGTAATTTAAAAAAAGCTCCCAGTGTTACCTCAAAAAACATCTCCTTTGAGTTTGATTTTTTTGATTTGGATGATTCTGTTTCAAGTTAGAGTGTATACCGCAAATTTTTTGAGGCGTCTGAAAAAAATCTCATTATCTCGCTCAATTCTCAATATTTTTTAATTAAAATTTAGAGAAATATTGTTCAAATGTTACAATATTATATGCAAAGCGATAAAATAAATTAACTTTTTGCGTATCGCCAAAAAAATTCTTAAAAATATGATTTTTTTCCACCGTTAAAACCTTACCGCCCCTTAAGAACAATCGGTATCATTAATTGCACAGGTTTACAAATAAAAAACTTTTTTTTGCCAACCGAACAAAACAATTTTTTTTCGAATAGTAGGTGTTTGTTGAGTAAGAAAATCGTAGTTTTAATTTTTTTCCCTCGCGCAGTTTTTCTGTAGCTTCAAATTTTGCATTTTCGAGGTGCGGCGCCACTTAAACTTACCTGCAGGAAAATTAGCTTGTCAAAATATAATAAATGAGGTATCATTGGAAAGGTTATTAAATTACCTTTCGATCCATAGGTCACAGAATAAAATTTAACAAAAATTGAAAGAGTTACAGTCGATTAAAGATGAAATTTCATGACAATTTTGATGATTTTTAGACATTTGAGTAACTTTTACTATTTTTTTCTACATCAAACAGGAAAGAATATTTAGGTTTTAATTTTTTTATTGATAGACTATATCATTACACAAATTTTGAGCCCTTGTGGACCTCGATTGGATTAAAAATGACAATTCTACACTAAATTTAGTGAACGAAACTACATTCTTCATTTTTAGTATCCCTTAAACATTTGCAGCAAATATTCAAGTAATAAAATTTGTTTAAGTGCTAAAGTTACTGAAATCACTAATCAAGAGTTTCTGAAGTCGTAGATTTCAAATTTCTTAATTTCAACCGATTTGCTCATTATAATGTTTACAGAGAATAAAACTAGAATTTTTAAGTTTCATTTTCTCATAAGTTTCAAGAAAAACGGAAGCGACATGTTTTGAAATATTCTAAAGGTTATCCTTCAAACTTGATTTTTTCATAAATTCTATTACTTTTTAAAAAATATGTTTACCATAATAAAATTTAGAAATTTTTTTTTAAATTCTATGTAAATAAAGTTTGGTTTTAATAAATGGGAAAATAATTATTTAAAAATTGCTTTACAATGTTAATTGTTTATAATGTGGTACTTTATATAAATATTAACAAAATAAGAATTGCTTACTAATAATTTTACAAATTAAAAGTCACTAAGAAACATATTATAATTTTATGTTCATAAAATAATTAATGCATTTTAAATAAAATGTCCATTTACCGCCATTTGAATCAGAACACTCAATTACACTCGCTCGCAATCGGGTGTAATAAAATAGGGAAAAGTGCACGGGCTTCTAGGGAGTTAGGTGTACCCTATTGCGTCACTTCTGGTAACGAGAACGCCGTAGTGTACACTTTTGTACAAAGTGTAGAAAGTGTAGCTAGCGAGAACAAAACATATAGCTGAGAAAATTGCTCGTAATAAACATAAAAAGCTTTGGAATCATGATAATTATACGAATTTTTCTAAATTGAGGTCAGAATGCTAAAATTTATTTAATATTGGTTATAAAAATTTTATTTCGCTTATAACGAATTCTTGAATTAATACAGTTTTCCAGAAAACTCAAAATTTAAGAAAATAATTATAAAAATAAAAAAATATTATATTTATGTCGTGAAACTGCTCAGTGTGTTAAATTTAATTATTGGTTTTCGTGTTTTATGTTTTTTAATATTCTTCAAAAAAATTTGTAATCTTTTTCTAATATTTCAGAAGAAGAAGAAAAATATTTTAAAGTCT